ACTACCTCTAAATGACAAGTGCGGTTCTTCTTACACCCTTTTCCTACATCTTACTTTTTTCTTGCAGTACGTTACTGTTTTTTAGTCAAAAAGTTTTTCAGAAAAATATAGTCCAGATGATCGTCAGAAAGAGTAGTGATTTTGTACAATTAATACTATAATAAAATTAATTAAATATTATTATAACATATAAATTTTTTTTCACTTCGGTTAATCATAAAATGGATTTAGGTTTTTTAAATGAAATTTAGTAAATACGATGTATTCTTGTATATAAATTATGAGCTTGGTGCTGGAATGAAATTAACAAAAAAAATCTCTTGCATAATATTAATTATCTCGTTAACTATTAATCAAAATCCTATAATTTTGGTACTATTTGATTTGTCTTACCAAGACGAATCGAATAGTACCAAAATTATGGAATTTCAATCAATAGTTAATGAGATAATTAATATTTTGCAAGAGATTTTTTTTCCATTAATTTTGTCTCTTTTCCAGCACCAAGCCTATATAATCTTCTTGTTTTATATAATGCCCACTATTGTAATCATCAGAGAAACGTTCACTCAATATCTATTTTTCATCTTCTAAAATAAAGAAAAATAGTGATAAAAAAAGAAAAGTAAAATATAACGAACAGAAAACCTATACTTAGCGCCATGCTTAATATCAAATTTCATATATTTGACATATTAACAAAGTGTCATATGAGTACTCAATCAAGACCACATACAAACACCAAATGACTTTAGTTTGTTATATTTTCAGTGCTAAAAAAAAAAAAAAACCTAATTAGAAAAAATACAATCTTCGTAGTATAAAATAGTTTTTCTTAATTTTCTCAACTATTTTTATAAGATACCCTTCTTTCAAAGATACATTTTATAGAAAGTTCTTGCTCATATGCATCTAACAAGCTATTTTACACATCCAGATCTTGAAAACTCCAAAAGAATCTTGTGAAAAAAGACAAAATAATTGCCTATTTTTAAAGGGACCACATATTGCCATATGATGTTAGTTTTTTACATTTTTCATATTGTTTGATTCATTGAATCCCTGGCAACTTATTTGTTTTAAAACATTGTGTATTATAACTAAGACTTTGGAAAAAAATTTTAAAATTGTGATTTCGTCGATTTGTATAATTTATGAAAATCATATGATAAAAATTAGATGTGACATCTCAATCGACTAATAAGCTACCTTTTTTGGCCAAAAAAATGACACAAAAATCATAGGGATAGCTTATTTTTGATAAAGGTTTGAAAAGGTTAATTTTTATTATTTCTTTAAAATCTAGAAGTAGTTTCTTTATATAAAAGTCAAAATTTTATTAAGTAAATTGATAAAAGTCACTTAATAGGAGTTGTTCAAGATGTAAAAATACACATATCCTGAAAGTTTGAAGCAAATCGGAAAACTTTTTACTAAGATGTTTTTGCTTTTACGTTTGAATATAAAATGCAAAAATATTTTAGTAAAAAGTTCTCTGATTTGCTTCAAACTTTTAAAATATGTGTATTTTTACATCTAAACAACTCCTATTAAGTAATTTTTATCAATTTACTTAATAGAATTTTGACTTTTATATATAGAAACTACTTCCAGATTTAAGAAATTATCAGAGGTAGCTTATTTTTGGAATAACAAATTTTCTTATGTTTCTTTTTCAGAGGTGGCTTATTTTCAGCAATATATGGTAGTTATAAACACAAAGCTGAATAAATATATAATACTTCAAAGACATCCCAATTATTGAGCTAAAAGCAGAAAAAAAGAGTGAAAAATAAACGAACTTTAAATAAATAGCTGAAATCTTGAAGATTTCTTCAGGTCTAATCTATTTTTTCAAAAATAAAGGATTATTTTGAGATCATTACAGATTATGAAGCTATGGGTTCTCTACTTTTTGTGTATATAGTTACTACTTGAGACAAGTAGTATGAAAAGTCAGAAAACCTCAGCCAAAGAGCATGATTGTAAGCCAATCATTGCTCAAGGATGTTCTGTAGAATATTCCAGAATCGGTATCCAAATTTAGTAATATCTCTGACTGAAATAGTATAATTCAGTTATATGCATATATCTAAGCAGAAATTTCATTTTCAAGACTTCAATATATAACTATTACTTGTTTTATAATGTGGGGTAGATTTGTAGAAACTTCTCAATAAGGTCAGCTGATTAAACAAATAATTAGTTATGAATCTTCTTTTTTGTCCAATATTAGAAACATGTTAAATATTAGCTTAAATTTAGTTTACTATAGAGCTCCTCTCTTTTTTCTATTCTACAATATTTTAATGTAATACATGCACTTTTTTTGCATTAATTGATGATCCTCCAGTCAACTTAAGAATAAACATAGTGTAATGTGACATGATTTACTATATAAATATGAAAAATTTCTAGCATTCATGTAAAGAAAACTTTTTTGATACTAAGTTAATCGATCTTGTAAATTAATTAAAAATTGTAGAACTCATCGTTGCGGTTCTAATGGTGGTTAAATCATCCAAATCGGCCCAGTGGGTGCTGATATGTCTTTAAAAAACGCCAACGACTATATAAAATCTCTATAGAGATTTTATATAGTCATTGACGTGTTTTTTAAAGATATCTCGGTACCCACTGGGCCGATTTTGATGATTTAACCACCATTAGAACCGCAACGATGAGCTCTACAATTTTCAATTAATTTACAAGATCGATTAACTTAGTACCAAAAAAGTTTTCCTTGGGCAAATTTCATATTCAGCCTATATTAAATTTATATAGTAAACTCATGTTTATTCTTCAGGAGGATCATCAATTAATTAACTTTCCTACCCTTTAACGTAAAATATCGCTGCACTAATTAACTTTCCTACCCTACGATAACTGAAACTTCCCTTAACGAAAAATATCACTGCATTAAGGCACCGAAATTTCCGCTCACTCAATTAAAAATTATCAAGGCAGAAAAAATCCAAAGAAAATAAATTATTAAATCTCCTTCTCTTCGCATATCAAAGAAAAGGTGTTTTTTTTTATTTTGACTTGGACCGGATTTTATGCTAATAGCCTATAGGCGCTTGAGAACACTCTTAGACACTATTTTTTCTTTATTTTCATTTTATCTTTTCGTAATTTCGGGCAAATACTCTTTAGACAGTACCAACTCCAGGCACGACATATATACATCTATTCAAATTTTGAAAAACCACTATCAAATTCCTTCTATTAAGTATTAATAAGTAAAAATGTAATCAAGCTTTTCTATATAAATCTAAAACAAGTTTTATAGAAATACTTCACTAGTTTTACTAAAGTTGTTGGGTGAAACTTGAAATTTCGCACTGACGAACCGGAAAAAAAATGATGAAAGCTGAAAGCGGACGAAGCCGATAAAAAGTGGCGAAACATAAAAGTTGGCAAAACTTGTGAAATTTGACAAAATTGAAATTTATCGGAAGAGAAAACGGTAACAAACCTAATGAAAAAGTAATGGACAGAGATTACTCGGCAATAGACTTTTACTATAGTATTTTCGTTTAACTTATCGACCATACTAAAAATATTTACAATCACTTCCGAGTTTATTTACTGTTATCATCCATAAGATCTTATAAATCGTATTTTCAAATTCCTTTATTTAAACGACTTAAGCACGATGAAACAGTTTTTTTTGATAAACTAACAGGATTGTTAAACGACAAGCAATATTTTGAATATTTGTTCGTCAGTTGGCTGACAAATCTATTTCGTGACAGTTCTAACATGAAAAAATAACATATTTGCACTCGTCCCAGTTCTAATGCTTGAAAAGATATTGAATTACAAAGATAATATCTTGCGTTATTCTACTTGTTGGTTTTTAATACCTGTGAAAAATTGTCGAAGTCATTACGCGCCCCGTCGAGAAACCTAATACCCTATCAAGTGGGTATTTATTCTAGGCTAGTAGTTTAGTTCGTGTAACAGATCAATTCTGTCTTTTCTTGTTTATGCGTAAAATATTGTATATATTTAATATTATCATAAGAACTTAGATTTTCGTGGAAAGTGATTAAACCAGCTCGAAGCTTGAATTTGCATTCGATTGCTAAAAAAACGCGTATCTGATAGTGACGAAAAAAAAAAAAAAAGAAACAGAAAATTTCGATTTTATTGTGTTCTTTCTTTATACAATCTATTATTTATTTGAACTTTCAATTTTCTATATCTTATGAAACTTTTAAAATTTATTATTATTTTTTTCTTACTAAATATGAAATATCTATCGGTAACTTTTTCTAATTATCTAAATTTATACGTACAATGCACATTTTAAGAGCGACAATGCATATATATAGTATATATATATACCATTCATGGTACCAACGTACTCATTTAGAAATCAATGAATGGGTACTCGCAATTGTTTATTAGATGATGTGAATATATTAAGAGGTACTCGTCAAAACTCTCCATTATATAAACCACCGTATAAATCACATGTATGTATTGTTCGTAATGAATCTAAAATTTACTAATGTAGTAGTTCCTTACACAATACCATTATACTATATACTGGATGACATTAGAATTTATTGATGGATAAATAAATGAACAATACGACAATGAACTAAATGATTCGAAAAAAAAAAAGTTTTTTCTTGATTACATTGAAAGGATGCATGCAATAATGGGTAATAGAATTTTTTTTTCGAGATTTTAATAATAAATAATACCTCAGATCGTTTTTTTTTTTCCAAATTTTTAAAAAAATCTACAAAAGTGTTTAAGTCTCTCACCTCATTGCTAGCTGTATTTCCATAAAAAGTTTTCTCTTCCGTTTCACTTCACATCCAAAAAAATAACGAAACACTCACGCACTTTACCCAAAAATGAACGTGTCACAAAAATTTTATCGCTGGTTCGAAAAAAACTACAAAAGCATTCCGTATTACATTTACGCTCTATTTACCTTTAAGATCCTTTTGAAGATTGAAAATATCGGATATAAAAATCTAATGATCAGCGATCTCGAGAAAAGTTTAGAACAAATAGGAAAGCTCCGCAATAAATTAGAATCGAATAGACTTATGGAATTGTCAAAACATTACAAACATCAAGAATTAATAATCTCAAAAAACCGGTGCTTTAAGAATTTACAAGCAAGCTCATTACTAAGTTTTATGCTCGCCCAATTGATGGATGAAGTTGATAGAGCCGCAAAATATTGGGAGTATAGACCAAAAGAATGTGACAATGATTCATCAAATATACATGATAATATATTTGAAATTGATGAACTTTCATTTTATCCTGAGAATGTATTCCGATGGTTAAAGAGATTTAAAAACAGTAGAAAATCAACCTTTCGCTCAATTATTAAAGAACAAGTATCGATATTATATGGAGTTGGTGACACTATTGGACATATAGTTATGCTACAGACACATTTACGAAATGGTGTTGATCCGTTTTCGGAATTTGAGAAGAAGAAACCTACACAGGATGATGTAGACATTTGGTTAATTATGGTGTATACAACTAGTAAACTTTTAGAAAAACTCGAAAATGAGATAACAAAAATTGAAGAGCCAAGTATTTGTTTTATTTACAAACAATTAATTAGCGATTTAGAACCATTTTTAATAACAATTCAAAAGATTGCTACTGATAAACGATGGAAGGAATCAGAATTAATTGAAGATAATCCACAAGATACACATGATAAATCAGTCGAGCATAAAAATTCTCAATATACACACGACAAACAATTTGGGGAATATAATCCAAACTATTCATACGATGAAATATCCGAAGAATATAAACCAGAATATACACACGATGAGGCAAAGAAATATCCTAATATGGTTTCTTTTTGTATTTATTGCTTAATTATTCCTATATTCTATTTATGTTGTCTTTGCGTATATTTATCATATACGCGTTGGAATCATTTTACACGTGAATTTGAATTTGTGAAAATAATATTTTTGGGTTGTCACCTCTTTATAATATGTCAAGTTTATAAGGAAACTATAAAAAAGTATTGGAAAATTTTCATAGTTTCTTTAAATGCAATTATTATCTATAGATTTCTTTACTATCTCCTTGATGATGAACTTTATATTATATATCATTCTTAATTTATATAGAATAGTAGTGTTTATTCACTTTATAAAAGTTGGATAAATTAGATAATTAATCTTCTTTTTATTTATTGTAAACGAATCGATTTTGGCCATTTTTTATTAGGTTAAAATTAGAATTGTTTACCAAAGAGAATTGTTGTGATAGTATCATAATATATATTATTATAATGTAAATATAAATTAGGATAATTCAAGATTTACGCTTCTTACAGTATTTAATAGTTCTATTACAGTATTACAGTTACAGTATTAGATTCACACTTAATAACTATGAACAAATAAAACTTAGTTTTATTAAATAATTATCCTTTCATTTTTTCGTGAAAATAGTACTGTATCTCTTAGTGAAGTCCAGTTAATAACATTATGTTGTATAAATTTTTTATATAAACTAAGATATTAGTGAAAAACCTGTCATTTCACATTATGGATCAATTATATGGTATGGAAAGCCATTTGAAACTTATGCGTCACGCCTAGGTCATTTAAATAAAGGATATAAGAGAAAAGTATGAAGAACAAACATAGATTACTTTTGTGAAAAGCAAGAAAAAGTTATAATTATAAAGGAACTCAAATACATTATAACCAGGGTTGGTCAAATTACTGGTCGACCAAAAATTGGTTGGTCAAACTGGTCTGGTCAAATTGGTCAAGTGGTCTGGTCAAATTGGTCAAATGGCCTAGTCT